AAAAAAAAAACCAACCCAAAAGAATCTACAAGAGTATCATTTAATTACTGAATGGACTTAAGAATATGAAAGATTTTTTTTTAAAAAAAAACCCAGTGCCTTGCTAACTTGTATTAATTTTGGAAGGCACATTTCCAATTATTGAGTGTTCTCAATTAGCAAGTAATTATTTTCTTGCTGCTGATCTAACCCTTTCCCTCCTTTCATTGAACACCTCCCATTAGCTCCTCTTTGCACAGCTAATCAGATCTAAGCTACTTGCCATTAGTTTCAAGGGCTGGTGTGAGACAGGCCACAACTGGCATTGGAGATAGCTTAGCTCATTACAGATTTTCTGGAACTGACACTTGAATGAAAGTTTTGGGGGAGAGGAGAGGGGGAGAGAGATTCCATGTGAATGAAAGATATCAGACCATATTTTAGACCACAGATAATTGGAATAAATTGAGAACATGTGGCATTTTTACATCCTGTTTGCCACAGCACAGATATGGCCCACTAATCTTATATCAAGGACAGGTACACTTAACATAGTGGTGGGTTCCAGATCCCATTGCAATGGTACACTGCAACGAGGGTGGGCATTCACTACATGCATGTGCGCAGCATGCACATCCGTACTTACTGCCCGCAATGCTCCAGTTGCTTGGTGGAGCATCATGCAGGCGTCGTACGCGCCGTACGCTCCATGCATGTGTGCGAAAGCCGCGATCGGCTCAAATACAGGTAAGGAGGGGGGCGAGCGGGTGGGCCCTCTGGAGCACCATACTGGAACAGTACCTGGTGCTCCCAGCAGACACCGGTATGCCTGTACCGGGGTGTACCGGTTGTATACCACCACTGACCTAATATCATCTTTAAGCCTGGCCCCAGCCAGCCCAACAGGAAGGAAACTTTGCCTGTCTTAGAATCATAGTATTTTACTGTTAGAAGGGATCTTCAAGTCACTTTCTATTCCCTGAACAGGAATTCTTAGACCATGCCAGACAAATGACTATGCAACCATGACTCCAAGTGGCAGGCTGTTTGACTGCTTGGCAGCTCTCGTGTTTAGGAAACTCCTTACTTTAAATTTAAATCTTTCTTTAACAAAGATTCTCATTCATCCAGATCATGGTTGTCCCAAAGGTGCTTTTTTTCAG